GGGTAATTAAAGTCCTTAAAGTCCTTATGACTCTTTATGTATCTTTATGACTCAGTTAGTGAACTGGTTTCCAACAGTTGTCTCCAAATTGTTGTTTAGACTAAGCTACTACCAGACTAACTAGCCCAGTAAAGTGGTCATAGAGGTGGGGTGGAGAATTCAAAGTATCTCAAAAGCATCAGCTTGGAAAAGTCTCCTTTAGAAAGTCCAAAGCATTCTATAAACATGACATATTTATTTATATCTATAATTATATTTTGTTTCCCGCCAAGCAGTGCACTCCTATCAGCTCCTAGTCTCATCACTCCAAAGAACCATTAACGTGGCCATATTGGCCATTAACGTGTGTGTTCTGTGTTGCAGGCTGCCTTCACGTGTATCAAGAACTTGTGGAACCGCAAGCCCCTGAAAGTATATGGTGGGCGCATGGCAGAGTCCATGCTGGCCATCCTATGTCACATTCTGCGGGGGGAGCCAGTCATCCGTGAGCGCCTTGGCAAAGAGAAAGAAGGCGCACGTAGTGAGGAGGAAGGAGGGCAAGAGGAAGGTGGTGCCCGAAGAGAGCCTCAGGTGAATCAGCAGCAGCTGCAGCAGGTAAAAGCCAACATTGTATTCCACTTCTACACAAAACTATTGTCCTGGACCTAAGTTCTCCCATATAGGGATGTGGCAAACACTTAAAGTGGGTTATTCAGGACTCTACTTTCCTATTTTACTTTTGCAATCAACTGCTGTCTGCCTTTCTCTTTTCAGCTGATGGACATGGGTTTTACAAGGGAGCATGCCATGGAAGCTCTTCTGAACACCAGTACCATGGAACAAGCCACAGAATATTTGCTGACCCATCCTCCACCTCTTATGGGTGGGGTTGTGCGGGTAAGGCCATATAACAGCACTAAGTTTATGAGGCTATTGGGAGAAATTTCCTAAACTGACTTCAAAAAACTATTTCTGTTCTACTTATCCCCATGAGCCTCTTGGAGGAAATAACATGTCCCACACATCAGTTAATTAATCTCATTGTGATATGCTTAGCTTGCAGTACAACTATACCCAGAGTTATTATCCCTATTCCCACTTGATGAGACCAAATGGTTTGGGGCTGAGTATTTTCTTCTTGTGGTCAGTCACTAACAGAGTCACCTGACAAAAGTTGTTTCTGTGTTGCATAGCAGGATCTGAGTATGTCTGAAGAAGACCAGATGATGAGGGCCATTGCTATGTCACTGGGACAAGATATACCCATGGACCAAAGAGCAGAATCCCCAGAGGTAACACAGCTTCATCATGTGATGCTGTAATATAATAAATTGAAGGGCCACTGGGGAGGTTTGTAGAAGAGAATCCTAGTGCAGAAGTGAACAAAAGGACAACATGTAGTCTCACAGGCCTGGTTTTGTTGATTAATTTGATTCATCATGGACCCCAAAGCGGCTTGCAGTGAAAATTAAAAGAGCCTAAACAGTATGTGACATAAAGAATCAGTCTAATCAAAAGCCATTTAAAGCTCATTAAATATGTACAACATACAAAAAAAAAACTAGCCCACCTAATGTATATCATTCTGTGCTAACCATTTAAAAGCAGAGGGCCTGACCTGCAACAAAAGAGAATAGAGAGTAAAGGACTAATGAAAGATTGCTCAGGAGAGAGTTAATAGCCTAGGAATAGCTAATAAACCTTTATTTGTACCCCGCTACCATCTCCCGAAGGACTCGGTGCGGCTTACAAGAGGCCGAGCCCAAATACAACAATAAAACAACAATATTACAGCAAAATAAATAAAAAACAAAGCAATAACATTACCAACACACAATGACGCAATTAAAAACTATGGCAGGGCCAAATGTAATAATTGAAATTAAAAAGTGCTGCATGGCCAGGAGAAAGGGTGGGTGTTTGGAGAGGGGTGGGTATGCAGATATCCTAAATCTCTGATAAAGTGCATTGGGGACAAAATGCTTGGAGTTTCCTTATTCTGGGAAGGCACACTGGAACAACCACATTTTCAAACTCCTCCTAAAAATTGCCAGCGATGGGGCTTGCCTGATGTCCTTAGGGAGAGAGTTCCAGAGTCGAGGGGCCACCACCAAGAAAGCCCTATCCCTCGTCCCCACCAATCGCACTTGTGATGCAGATGGGATCGTGAGTAGGGACTCTCCAGATGAACGAAGAGATAGCTACCAAAAAGGCTCTCAGTCACCAGACAAGCTTGGCAGAAGGGAAGAATCCCCCCTGAAAATAGTAAGAGTCATGTAGGCTCATGAGGGAGATACTATATATAGTGTTATTGCTCAGAACCAGCTATTTGCCCCTGGAATTCGATTGGTAGTACATGAGACCATTTAACCAAGGGAGCTTCCTGCATTTTGTGGCCCTCGGTCCCACTCCTGGCACTGCCCTTTCTCTGACCCCAAAAAGGTGAATGTAGGAATGGCACTTCCTTTCATAGAATGCATCCCTCTTAGCACTGTTTAATGCTAAAATATGTTTTTTTCCAAAAATATCTGTTAATTTTGACTACTTGGGGTTTTTTTTCCATTTTGGAGACATTTTTGCCCACCTATGCAGCTCTTAGAAGGTCCTAGAGACAAAAAGAGTCTAATTTCTAGACCTGTTGCATTTGCCTACACAGGCCATAAAGTCCACTTCATCGGGTCATTGAATTTAAGAGGTTGCAGATTTGTCTCTGCTACTGGAGAAGCCCTGTGTATAGCTAGCCTTTTCTGATCCCTAGGAAGCTGCTTGCCGAAAGGAGGAAGAAGAACGCAAGGCCAGGGAGAAACAGGAGGAAGAAGAAGCAAAGTGCCTTGAGAAATTCCAAGATGCAGAACCTCTGGAGCAAGAAGAACTGCACAGCTTTACAGATACAATGCTCCCTGGTTGCTTCCACCTGCTGGATGAGCTGCCAGACACAGTCTACCGTGTCTGTGATCTCATCATGACTGCAATCAAACGCAACGGGGCTGACTACAGAGATATGATCCTCAAGCAAGTGGTGAATCAGGTAAGATTGGCTGGTTAGGCACTTGATTTCATTGCAGTAGTGCTGGCCCCAATTTAGGACGCAACCCCTGGCAGTGAGACCAGAAAAAGCCTGTTGGAAGAAACCCAGACAAGTGATAAGTCTGAGCTGCCCATTTTCTGTGAGTCCCTGCTTTGGCAAACATACAGATCAGCCCCAATTAAAATAATCCAGCCAGCAGCAAGGTGAGAAGGGTGATTTCAGCCAAGGAAGGTTTTATCATCTGCAGATAAGATCCTAGCTTGTGATATATTCACAAAGAAACTAGAATAGCCAGAAAACAGAAATACAGCCTCTTTTATACACAATAATTTCATATTTCCCACTGCAGCAACATCAGCTGTAGCGAAGCCCATTGGTCGAGTGTCCCAATTCTGACTAATCACAGAAAGGGGGATTTGCTGAGCAGTTGACTTGTGAAGAGACAAAGGGCATTTGAGTGGCGGTGAATGGGTTTCACTTTATTCAACAGGAAAAATAATAAAATGATTGAGGGCACTTGGCCCTACCCAGGAAAGGTTTATTGTATACAGGATGGTCATGGCAGTGCCCCACCAAGGGGCGGGCGGGCGGGGGGGGGGGGCTGACCCAGTGGTTCTGGATCATGGTAGTAACAAATAATAATTTTGCCCGGGAGGGTTTCATGCAACAGTGGGAAGATTAATAGGCATACCACACTTTCTCTCCCTTCCCTTCCCTGGGAAAGATGGTATTATTATGGGGTTCTGTTAGTAAACAGCTGGATATTCTAAATCAAGGGTTTTCAAACTTTTTCAGTCATGGAACCGTTTTTGAATCAAAAGTTTCTCATGGAGCCTAAGAAATGTTTATATATTTTGTTATATATTGTATTATATTATTCATAATGTATATACGTCAAGCATGGGCAGATTTTTTTGACCCACATAAACTTTGGAGAGTAGCCATATTATCATACACAGTTGCTCCCCCTCAACGGTTTTTGTCCCCAGAGTATATTTCCCCACCTGTATGAAGGTCTATATTTATGACCCAGTTCCTTTATGAGTTTCTCCCCCACAAACAATCTGCTCCATCCCGATATCATCCTGATTTTACTATTTTTAGTATCTTAGTTTTATCTTGCACATGCGGCCCACTCATTGTTATGTTATTTTATTGTGTATGATTTTGCTTTATCATTTTTGTACTCACATGTTGTATGTATTTTACTGTGTTGTTGTTGTGTTTTGGTTTTACTTTATTGTAATATGCTGTTGGGCTTGGCCTCATGTAAGCTGCCCCAAGTCCCCATTGGGGAGATGGTGGTGGGGTATTAAATAAATTATTATTATTATTATTATTATTATTATTATTATTATTAACAGTATTTTAGTGGAAGACCCCAGGGGCCATCCAGTCCAAACCATTACTGTCAATGCAGAAAAAGAACAATCAAAGCACTCTCAATGGATGACCATCCAGCTGTTGTTATAATAACAATAATAGTAGAAATCCTAGAGGCAATCCAGTTTAGCCCCTTTTTGCCATGCAGGAAAAGCACCCCCTGAGCGGTTGGAGGGGGGAATAGGGTTTGGTAGCAAGCAAGGCAAAGGGGGAAAGGATCTGGGTGGTGAGGAAGGGGAGGAATAAAGGCTTTGAGGGACAAAAGAGGGGAGGAAAAAAGCTTTTTGGGCCAAGGGAGGTGCGGAAAGGCTTTTGGGGGCAAGGGAGGCAGGGAAAAGGCTTTTGGGGACAAAGTTGGGGAGAGGAGCAGGAAAAAGGAGGGGACCACAGAGCCCCTCAGTATGCTTCATGGAGCACACTTTGAGAACCACTGTGTTAGATTATATAGAGCAAGAAAATGGTTGCTCTAACTCAGCCTTAGCTCTTCCCATTGTACATTTGTAATATGCTGGCTAATATCGATGCTGGAAAGGCAGCTTTTGTTGTTCTGGTTCTAGCTTCGACTTATCAAGAGATGTTAAACAACCTTACTATTGAATAAAGTTAGAACTTTTGAGTAAAGGATTGACTCAAAGCTTTGAGATCCTGGAAGGCAAATGTTTGGCATTTGTAGCACTTTGTAGATTTTGTGCCAGGACTCCTGAGGGTTTAACAAATGCTTTATCCCTGTGTAGGGAAATCAATAATTCATTGTTTGCTCATATTTCACCCTGGTGTTCATGGTGGGAAGCTCAATAGATGCAAAGGCTTTGGGAGAAGTGGGCACATCTAAAAATGCATACTTTTTCTATGTGAGAAAAGGTGAAGAGAAATGAAAAGAAGAATCCAAGGAGAACCAGCATGTAGCTATCAACTTCTTGCGGTCTTGTTCTTGGAAGTATTTGTGGTTCAGCACAATGGGGCAGACTGTTGTATTCATGAAACAGGTGTGTCCTACAGATGAGAGATCATGGTGGTTATTTGTGCTTGGTCCGTCTGAGCAGGCTAGTTTCCTGTTGAGATCAGATGTCTGGGGGACCTAGCATTCCCAGTTCGATGTGAGGAGGCATCCATTTATGGCTGAAGTCTCCTCTTCATCATACAAAGAAAGGGTCAAATCAATTCACAAATGCTCACAGGTTTAGGCTCCTTGAGTTCACCCTTGCTTTTGCCAAATGGTTCCCTCTCCTTTTACAACTTGGTTTGCCTCATTTCTCATCAGATGTTGATGTGAGTTTGTTCTTCTAAGTCATTTGTGAGTGAATCTCCTGATGCCACTGTGATCCTGGTAGTTTCTGAAAGGTTACTAAGAGAAATGGTTTCACAGATCAGCATCTACTCTCTCCATTGAGAACATGCCTTTTTTTTTGCAGGTGTGGGAAGCTGCTGATGTTCTCATCAAAGCTGCCTTGCCCCTTACTACAAGTGACACAAAGACTGTCTCAGAGTGGATCAGCCAAATGGCTACCTTGCCCCAGGCCTCCAACCTGGCCACACGCATTCTGCTTTTAACATTACTCTTTGAGGTAAGGTTGAAAAAGAGGAAGTCTTTCTTTTCCAGATTATACAGTTACAGGTGGGCCATTTTGTATCACAAGTGCACTTTTCAGTCTAAATTGATACATTTGCTGTATATAAGCTGCCTGTGCTTTGACTTTGGCCAGGGGTTTAATTTGATGGTCAGTTTGTCTTTGGATTAGTTCCCTTCTGCTCTGTGGGTGCCAGCCTGTTTGCTTTTGTTTGCCTGCAGGAGCTGAAGTTGCCATGTGCTCGTGTGGTGGAATCAAGTGGCATTCTCAATGTTCTGATCAAGCTGCTGGAAGTGGTGCAACCATGCCTGCAGGCTGCCAAGGAACAGAAAGAAGTGCAGACCCCAAAGTAAGAAATAAACCAGTTCAGATTGCAAGTTGGGAATCCCTACATGGGCGTCTGCATTCCGAAAATTCTGTTCCACCCAGGCTTAGTTTTTGACCCTACCAAGTTCTTGTAATGATGCTTCTGGTTTTGTAATTGCATCCAGTAGAGGTCATAGAAGAGTTCAGTAGATGCCATGATCGCCCTTCAATGGGATTGTTTTTGTTTCTGGTTTTGGGTTTACAGCAGGGGTCCTCAAACTAAGGCCCGAGGGCTGGATGTGGCCCTCCAAGGTCATTTACCTAGCCCTTGCTCAGGGTCAACCTAAGTCTGAAATGACTTGAAAGCACACAACAACAACAATAACAATCCTATCTCATCAGTCACAAGTACGCCTACACTTCCCATTGAAATACTAATAAGTTTATATTTGCTAAAATTGTTCTTTATTTTAATTATTGTATTGTTTTTAAGTGTTTTTTGCAGTACAAATAAGATATGTGCAGTGTGCATAGGAATTCATTCATTTTTTTTCCAAATTATAATTCGGCCCTCCAACAGTTTG